GGGGGGGGGGGGGGGGGGGTGCCATTTTGAAATAGGAAAAAAAAAACAAATCATATACTAAAAATCAAACATCTGTTATAATGTATGTTAACTTTATTCCAACATTTTTTTGTCCTGATTTGTCTTCGTCTTTTGTGTGTGGAGGAGCGTAGAGGGTGTGGCTGGGGCAGGGTGGGTGTGGGTATGGTACAGTGTGCTAGAAGCCATGCGATGTCACAGTTCTGTGCCTCCACATGCGACTGCCAGCACTCCAGCAGAGAGCTGCACATGGAAACAGAACCAGTCCAGCCTGACCGGATGGTGCGTGGCTCCCGCCTGCAGTGCCAAGAGCCCCACATACTGGCAAAGAGCAAGTCCAGTCCAGCCTGAAGCCACACAGCTCCTGGCTGCAGTGCCAGGAGCCCCAAGTGTTGGCATAGAGCCAGCCCAGCCCAGCCTGATGGCATGTGATGTATGAAAGCCCATGAATCCTGCTGGCTTTCAGAAAGGCAGCTGTAGGCCAGTAATAATGGTCTTTTAGAAGGGCCCCATAAGCTGAATAAAATGGCCTGGCAGGCTGGATCCAGCCAATGGGCCATATATTACCCATCCCTGCTCTATCCCCTCTGGCATAAGCTCTGGAAAAGCATGGCAAGCATGTGCTCTATGAGTACTGCTAAGGCAAAAAGTTTCCAATCAAGAACTCAGGGCACAAAAACCCATGAGCAGTGATAATACGCATGTGGTCAATTACTCAAAAAGAACCAATTTCCAGAAATTTTTCCAAAGCTAAAATCTTATACGTAAAAAAGAGTAATATTTATGTAATTAAGCTAATGTTTTCATTAGTTGCATCTGAGTATGATAAGAATTTTCTTATAAAAGAGTAAGTCACATCAGACATTCATCTCCTTAAAAACAAACTACAGTGGGCCAAAACAAGTATATTTGTTACTGAATTTGAGCAGTCAGTCAGGATGAGCCAGAAAGTAAAAACATGAAGGTTTAAACAGAAATAGTAATAATGCCATGCTGCACATCCAGTGCAGTTTATAATACACATTTTGGCTCATAGCATGTTAAGACTTACATCTGACCAGAAAACCAAGAGCAGAAAACACTATGTTCTCAAGGTATCTGAATTCAAAGTAACCACGTACAAAGTGACCTGTGGCCACTGGTCCTGTCTTATACTGACTGGACCACCCTGTTTTTAAACTCTTTGACCCATGTCCATTTCTAAAGGAGGAGCAGACTGCTGACTGGCCAAGAGGCCCCGTGGCCCCAGCCCTCACTGCTGATTGGCCAAGAGGGATGGTGCCTCCCACCTCCCTCCCCCCCATCACCAAGGAGATGTTCTGTATTCTGGGGGTTCATCAGTGGCCACACTACCCGTCTTCAAAGTTAAGCATGAATAAGCGACAAAAAATTTCCAAGTATTAATTCATTAAATCCTCAAAAGAACTTGGGTGAATTGGAAACAGCAACACCCATTTTACAGGTAAGGACACCTAAGCACAGCAACATTATAACACAATGTATGTTCCAACTCTAGTTATTGTAGCTGCTGCTATTAACCACTCTGATCTGTAATAGATAAACAATGGTTCTCCTAATATATTTTTCCCATCTCAGAGTATTTCTCCCCATCTATCTACATTCATACTTTCAATGCATCTGTTACAGATCAATAGTTGAGACTGATTTGAAATCTTAATTTTAAGCAGGGACTAAACTACGTTGATGTGTGTGGAGAATACTGGACATCTTCCCCACTTTACAGCAGCTATTTGTTAATGTGTACCAAATGGATTATGTGAGAATTTAAAAGCAATTCCATTCACTTATACATTTAAGTTAATTTTAAAGTGTATTCTTAAAGGAACTGGCAACCATATTAGGCAAATGTTGTCTCACATGATCACAGATCAGATGTCTCTTTACTCAAAACTGTCAAGGACCTGGATCCTGTAGATTTGGTAGTTAACAGTTTCTGAAAATAAAATTATGACCCATGTGATTTTTCTTGTTACTGTTTGGAAGTCAAAGTTTTTCCTTAATCAAGAGACAGAGAATAATGTTCAGAGATACCAAAGGAATTCCTTCCTTTTCAAAAGGCTACCATCCCTCTCAAGGGGATGGAGCCCCCCAGCTGCCCTTCACAAAAATTACCCTTGCCCCCATTCAATTGATCCTTACATTGCTTTTTTTCCTACCTCCTAGAAATCTGAGAAGCCATCTCTCAAAAGCAGACTGATTTCCTGTGACGTCAAGGGAAGGAAAACAAACAAGCAAGAAAAAGCGAGAGAACACAAAACCTGTTCTTTAAAAAAAAAAGAAAGAAAAAACCCACAATTTCAGTTAACCAGGGATGACAAAAATGAATATGTATTAATAACAAATGCATGCTGTAACTATAGGGCTGAGTCTGCCCGTCTTTTATGAGCATTTCCATTCCTTAACATATTCAAATTTCTTTTAAGTCTAACATGTACAGTGAATTTCCAGCATTTATAATGCTCACTTTGGGGATAATTAAAACATGCTTGTAACACAGCCTAAATTACTGATGTATACGTTTAATCTTAACTCCAATCTCACACAATTTTAATCTAAGGATATAAATATCTATCTATGCATGTATGCTCATTGACACATACACATATATATGGTTTATAAAGTATGGACAACTAGCAGAAAAATCCTTTTAACAAATGAAAAACAATTACCAAATATAACAGTGAGCCAACAACACTGCTGAATAGGATCTATTTAAAGTGCTAGACAGATAAGCAGGTGGCTTGGACAGAAAAAAACCCCTTATAAATAAAAACATAGCCTTACAAAGATGACTTTGAATAGAGGGGAAACAGTGGCACCTAGTGGTAAGGCAACCTTCACAGAGGGATGTGGAGGTATTGATCTATATAAAACTCATATGGGCAGAGCCAATATATGTTACAACTTGGTGGCTACATGGTAAGTACCAGAGCCCAGCTTTTAATACAGAATTGTGACACAGTATGAGCTCTCACAGCTTTTCTTGTTTGTTTTGAGAACTAACTTTTTTAATCCTTGATCCTAGGATCAAAACATGCACAATGTAGAAGCTCTACCTCTGTACTAGGAAGCTAAACTTCTTCTGAAACTGGTCGTCAGCAAATGGTCCCTTAGAACATATAGAGAAAGATTCCAGTACTAATTTAGGTGGGATGAGAAGACTTTCAAGGCTCCTGTTATCAGTCTTCCTATGCCTGTTCTAAATGACTTGCTCCAATCTACAAGAGCAGCATCTTTAGAAATTACTCCAAAGGGAGCAACTGCAGCAATAAGTTTGCAGCAGTTATTTTTTCTAATGTATAAGGAAACATGGGAATTGCCTTGCTAGATCAAAGCAATGATTTGCATCTAACAATTTCCTATCTCCAACAATGGACAGTACCACTACCAGAAGGTATGCAATAAGCATTTACAGTAGAGGTGCACCAATACATCAGTCCAATATCAGATTGGCACTGATATAAAGAAAATTATCAGTATCAGAAATCGGCCATATCAGGCCAATAATTTGGCCAATAAATGGCCCATGCATCCGTGCAGCCACACCACAACACGTAGGCAGTGAGGAGCACATCCTTGGCAGCTTGAAGAACTGCTTGCAGCTAGTAAGTCTGTTGTGGTGGAAGGGGAGGGGGAAGGGAAGGGGTGTAGGCAGATTGGTCAAGGCCCCCGCAGTGAGGAAGGAGTGGGGCTGGGGCCGGGTCTGCCCAGCCAGGGCGAGGCAGGCACAGGACAGAGCAGCAGCTCGCCCAGAGGCATGGCTCCCATTGCTACGTGCTATGTGCGGGAGCTGATGGTCCAGCGGCTCGTTCAGCACTTGCCCAGCGGCTCCCGCTGCTGCTTCCATTGCTCATCCAGGAGGGCACAGGGGGATGGGGGGTGCCCCCAGATCTGCATAGTGTGGGGTGGGGTAGGCTGGGGCTGCGCCAAGCTGTTCCTGGCAGGCTGGGGCTGTGCGCAGGGCTGGCACTTGC